CCGTATGGACGCCGAACCCGCCGTAGCAAGGGGAGACAATCCAGCAGAAGAACCGCAGCACGGAGGCCTCCGAAGCCGCGACGGCTCCGGAAGCCTAGGTGCTGCAGTTGGTCTATCCGCGACGAACGGCGCGTCAACCCGCTCACCAGCCTCTGCCTCGTTAGGCGCGAACGGAGCCCACGACGGCGCTACGCATACCGAAGAGGAACAGTTGAACAGCGATGACGAAGACACGCTCCCCTTCGGCCAGGTCGACCCGCTGTACGACGAGCACGCGGACACCGAGGACGAGGAGTGGGTGTGCGAGGAGCTTCTCGGCGGGTGCGGCGCCCACGATGTGACGCCCAGCGTGTCGTGCCCGAGCTGTTTTGCGCTGTTGAGCATGCAAGTGCAGCAGCACGTGCAGTATGAGGGGCAGTTTCGCGCCGTTTCTGTTACGAATTGTAAGGTGATCGACAGGGAGAGACTGCAAATTACCACGGATAAAGTGGGGCGGAGGCCAAAGAAGGGTGAGGTGTTTAAGCCGGTCGTGTGTAGAAAGTGCGATACCGAGGTGGCAGTGCTGGATGTGGATGAGGTGTATCACTTTTGTAACGTTATTTATTGAAGGGGACGACAGAATTGGAGGACAAAAGACAAACGCGTCGTCCTAGAGTCGAGATGAAAGGCGCTCTAGTGTATCGCGGATCATTGTTTGCATGTGCGGAGAAGGTTTCAAGCAAATAATTGCGATGTTGATGCCGTCTGGATTGTTGGGGGTCGACGGAGGGCCGCTTGTTTTATTCGATTATCCCCAGAGCAGTTTGCCGGCTGAAGAAAGCGAGAGTTTTGTGGGGTAAGCGATTGATGTTGACAACTTTCTACGCGAGGATATTGCTTCGAGTGGGCTCAGATAGGCAGTGTCAATAGGGCACAAGGATGTGCGCCGATCCAGGCACTACTAATATGTGCGGCATCTCACCGTTCTTGCGCTACACTAGTGTTTATCGGACCGCTGTTCTCATATGAGGACACTTTTCGACATATATATTTTTTCTTGCGCTTTCTTGACAAGAGGGAAAAAGATGCCCCCGCCACCGTGCTTGGCTTCTGCCTTGGGTTTGGAAAGAACTCTTTGAGATTTGCATGTTCTTCCTGGTCGCTTTAGATGTCTGAAAGAAGCTTTTTTAGACCACCTTAAAAACTGCATGTAAAACAACTTCGAAACCGAAACGCCAGTTTAAAAAGGCAACTAGGTACTCAATCTGCATGAAATTCTTGTTCTTTCTGCAAATTCAAAGCTGCTATCCCGCTGTTCTGCAAGATGTACGTTAAGAAAATAGTGTCCAAGATAACTTTTTAAAATTATTTTATATACTTTTACAAAAAAACTGCCCGCATATAAGGACATGCCCCGGTCGGATAGACACTATCCTTAAGGGTAGTGTCTAGACAACCGGCACTTTGCGCACACTTTCTCTCATGAGGAACACCGCATGAGAGAAAGTGTACGCATTGAGCAGTTCTTTTCAGCATTTGAAACAAAAGATACAGGGTCCGGCGTGAGTCGAACACGCGACCTATCGATCTGCAGTCGATTGCTCTACAGCGACACTAACCACTGAGCTACGAACCCGGTGTCTGATGGACAGGTTGCTATTGTTTTTAAAGCACAATGATAAGCCAAAACCTTCAAAAATTAATCGAAAAATTACATCAAAAAAAAAGAATACGAAAAAAAATTCGATCAATCAAAATATTAATTTATAATTTAATAGCATCGGCCCCCCCATTATTAGAGAAATAAATGCATCATAAATTAAAAAATAAACGAAATTAAGAGATCCGAAGCTGCATCTGCAGCACCATCTCATACTTGCCGTATCATCTTTATCACTTTATCCGATCCAAGCGTGATTGGGTGACATTTGTCGTTTGATCATCGGTCCCGCAAAATGTTAGACAAGTAAAGATGATACGAACTCAACAATTGTTGAATTCACAAAAAACCTGTACCTTTTCATCGGGATTTTGATATGGTATGCAGTGGGGTGAAGCAAAGTTGAGATCGGTACACGTGTTATGAGTGCAAAAGATATTTTGTTCTGTACGTTCTGTACGGAAAACATGACTGTAATGCGCAAAGAGATACATCACAACGCATTGCCGACGTCTGGAGGGCGACGCAAAATCACCGCTCGTGAGAAACAGGGAAGACTGGTTTGCCGGGGGATCAATACGTAGCCAAGAATGATTGCCGGCGACATGACTGGATGAATGACACTCATTCCATCTACCGGAGCAATCGCAGAAAGGATTGACGAGTAGGGTGCATCTGTGCTGTAGATACTGTGCTGTACATACTGTAGCTGTATGTTATCATTGTACTGTAGTATCTACGCTTGACCTTGCGGAAGATTCGGAATCCTATCACGCGGCAATGGGTGTAGACAACTGCCGCCGTGTACGCATCCAGTACAGTATAGCTGTAGGTGGAAAGCAACACCCCAGAGGGGCATTCCAGCGGCGCTCGACGGACGGCGGCGCCACTATCTAGCAGGCACGCCGACATGGAAGACGCTGGACACAGGGGTGCATCACGACGATAATCTGTAATCCGTGGA